GGGGGTTGTGCGTGGGTGGGGGGGGGAAAAGGGTCCATGCACACACAAGAGCCAGGCTGGTCCCCAATCCCCCGCAGTCCCCAGGGATGCTCCCAAGGGGGGATGGCTCCACGCACACACAGAGCCAGGCTGGTCCCCAATCCCTCTGTGGTCCCTAATCACACTTGATCCCCAGGGATGCTCCTGAGGGAGGACAGCTCTGCATGCACAGGGAGCCAAGCTGGTCCACGATCCCCCCATGATCGCTGGTCCATGATCCCCCCACGATCCCCAGGGATGCTCCCGAGGGGTCGGCTCCACCTGCACACAGAGGCACTGCCTTGGTCCTCGCCGGCTCAGGGCCGGGGACTTGCTGAGCCCGTTCCCCACCTGCCCTTCGCCGCACATCAACAAGTCACTCCGGTGGCAAGCTGGCGGCTGAATTGCTGCGGGAAGGAAAGGGCGGTTGCCATGGAAACACGCTGCCAAACTGGGAGAGCGGCTCCTTCCCTTAAAACGCGGCGTGAGCTCGGCAGACCAACAGATGAGGAGGAACCAGAGCAGCTAGCGGGGAGCACGGGGCCGAGGGGCCGCAAACCCCAGCCCACAGCCCCCAGAAAAATGGGTAAAATGCACAAGGGCGACAGCAGGCAGTGGTGCCGGTGGGATGCCCTGCTGCAGGAGAGGATTTGGGGAGGAACGGTGAGGATGCTGAGGACAAAATGGCAAAGCACAGTGCACCCTGTCACGGGCACGGCCAGGCCCCGGGGAAGGTCCCTCCTGCCCCCAGAGTGGGGACACGCCAGGGGGACACATGCCAGCCCCGAGCTGGGGGGACTGGCTGCACCCCGTATCCCTCACCCACGCAGCCGATGCACCCACAGCCATTCCTGGCCCCCGCATGGACAGGAGCATCCCTGAGCCTCCTCGGCCATCAGCACCAGCCCTCCCATCTCCAAGGATTACTCTGTTTCTAAACTCGTTAACTTTTAATTACTACCTTCCCACTGCCTGAGCAGGCTGGCTCTGTGCCACCGACATCTCTATTAAAATTCAATTTCTGCCCATCATAACTAATTTTGGTACTTCGCCTTCCTCACCGGCAGCCTTCAATTCCAGGCAAGACATCCAAACTCTCATCTCAACACATTAAATCCCCGCAGAGACCCGGGAACAGGCAGCGCACACCGGGCAGAACGAAGCTGATGCCAGCAGGTTGCATCCTTGCCGTGGAGAGGATGGGTTAAAGCCAGGCAGCGATTTGCATAGAGGCTGTTTGCTTCATTAGCTGCGGCTGGGTTTGTTTGGGTTTTCCCCACGTGTTTGTTTATTTTCTCTCTTCCTTCCTTAATCCTTTCTGGCTGGATGCTGGAGCCGGAGGCTCCAGGGAAAGGGAGTCACCTTGGCACAGGGATGCAGGGCTCCAGAGCTGCCAGGCATCCCAGAGCAGAGACATGAGCGCTGGCCCCTTTCCTACAGAAGGGTAAACTGAGGCACGGAGCAAACCCAGGAGCAGACCCAGGAAAGGAAGCAGGGAGTCCCCGTTCTGGGTTTGGAGGTGCCCCCCAGGCACCCCGACCCGCTCTGAGTATGGGGCAGAGCCCGGGGTCGGGGTCCCGATGTCTTTCTCCTGCCTGGGGCAGGTGGCTCTGCCCCAGCGCTGTGCAGCTGCCCTGGAGGAGCCCCTGCACGGGCTCTGCGTCCCCCCATCCTGCTGTCACCGCTGTCCCCACAATCCCATTTAAGGGTTGACATTTTGCATTGCTCCCGCTGCAGCCAACGTGAGTCCTGACAGGCGTGAGCTGTGGAAATCGCGGGGCTCAACAGGTCTCTGAGCTTTGACACCGGGGCTAGGGACAAGGGACCGGTCCCACGGGGCACCCAGCACTGGTGCAAACACCCAGCACCGAGCCGGGGGCATCACAGAACTGCAGCCACCACGGCTTAGTGGGGGACAGCCCCCAGGGTCCCCAAAGGTGGCCACTGCTCCAGCACCCAGCATGGCACCATGCCGGGGAGGGGACCCAGCACGGCACATGGTGCCGGGGAGGGGACGTCACCCAGCCACATTGTCTGCGTTCCTGGCATCCCGGAGCAGCCCCGCGTTGCTACAGCAACACGAAGCCTTTGGATTCAATGCGTTTAAACGGGGAACGGCTTGTCTCGGGCTGAATTATTGATTAAAACAGAGAGGATGACACACGCAGACAGAAGAGATGGTGAGAGGTGCCTGGCTTGATTTAAAGGCGAGCTCCAAGCGGGCAGTGATGCGGAGCCGGCCACTCTGCAGCAGGATTAGTCGGCGCACAGGGCTGGATGCCCAAACCCAGGGCGATCTCTCATGCCGCCCTTTCTTGCTCCTTTCCCGGGTCGGGCCACGAGCCGGCCGTGATCTGCGGCCCGGTGTTAAATCCACTCTGTGCAAATGCCTCCTCCCCAGTGTTGATCTGCTTAAATCCACCGTTTGCTCTCCAAACAGAGGAGGCAGCTCCCGGCATGCTACCCGCTGCTTCCACGCCGCCCGCCTCCCCGGGACGGAATCCCCCTCGCAGGGGGACCAGCAATGCCTGCTGTGCCGCAGTGGCTGCCGGCAGGGACCGGCGTGCCAGGTGGGATTCGCCCCGGATGCTCGGCGGCCGATACGGCGGGGGGGGGGGGGCGGGGGGCCCGCGGGCCCTGGAGAACTTGGTCAGCTCCTGGCTGTTGTGCAGCCACTTGAACTCGAGGGGCCAGCTGCCCTCCGCCATGCACGTCAGGACCAGGCGGTTCCCCTCCAGGTGGACCTGGCTCCGCACCGGCTCCGTCTTAAAGTACGGGGAGACATCGTCTGCGGAGAGAGGAGGAAGAGGGGGTTAGAACCATGAGCTGCCCCACGCCGGCCCCGTGAACAACCTGGCCGGCCCCATAGCCTGCCAGCCCCACAGCATCAGGACCGCTTCATCATGGGCAGGACCATAACTCAACAGCACGTGGGCAGGGGGATGCTGGCGGCCACCTCTCTGTCCTCCTGTCCCAGCTGGGGCCCCCAGACCCCTCCACTGGCCATTTTCCCCCCACTGAGCCATTTCACAAGCCTATCGACAACAGCTTAGGCCATCTAGGGTTTATCTAAGCTGCTTGCTTTGCTCTATTCTTGGCTGCCTTTGTAGCATTTCAGAAGCACCGAGCTTTTAACTCGGGGGGTGAAGGGGATGGAGGGGCTGGGAGCAGAGCAAGACATAAACACTTACTCCTCTCCTGTTTTATTTGCTAAGTAAAACTATAAATTGAAACACACAGCTCCATTTTCTGCTTAACAAATGGAAGCCCTTTTACTTCAAAGACACATTCATATTCCCCAGCAGCTTTCAAGTGCACTTTCAATCACGGCTTTGGGTTTTTTCTTTGGGGTAGGGCTTTGCTTTCTTGTGTGCACAAGCTGAATTCCTGCCACAGCTCTCCACACCGTAAGCCGGCACCAAAGCAGTGCCTGTGCCCGTGGGCTCAGCCTGCTCCAGTGCCCCACCGCCCTGGGGGGGTGTCACAAGTTTGCAGGAGCTCAGAGGCACCCTGACACCGCCAGACCTGCACTGGGGGGGTCCCTCTCCTCTCCTCGCTGGTGGGGCCCAGCTCCTGCACACCCTGGGGTGCCCGCTTGCTGCACCCACATGGAAATGCCCATCTGGTTTACAGTCGGCTGCCCTGTCCTGCCTGTCCCCGGGGTGGGCACGGTGGTGCTAAATGCCAGGCAAGTCATTAGGCTGGGAAGGAGCAGCTTGCGGCTCCTTAATTTATTCCTCCTCTCTGACCTTCAGCAGTGCTGGCTGGCGTGGGCAGCCCTTATCTCGGTGTCCCTGCCCCAGGTTTGGGCTGGATCCGGGCATCAGGGCACCTCGCAAAGCAGGCATGGGGCACCGGGGCCAAACCCTCCAGCAGCCCAGCTCCCCAGCAAGCCCCAGGTGCCACAGGGGCAGAGGGGTGCCCGCGGGCTTGGGGTTTGGCACCAAGGGCAGCTGGCTGCGAGCCCGGCCCGTGGCCACATGGTTCCCCAGTCCGGAGAGCTCGTGGCAGCCCTGCGGCAGCCGAGCTGCGGCTTTTGGGATGCCCAAGGAGTGGGGCACACATGTGCCGCTGGGACTGACCGAGCTGGGCTCACGGGAGCATCCAGGTGCAGTATCTGTGCCTGTGCATGGCACGTGCCACCTCTGCATGTGTGTGCGCGGGGGTGTGCACACGCGTCCCCACCACGGCGTGGCAGGAGCTTGACCTGCAACACCAGGGCTTCGCCCACATCAGGCTGGAGACTTGTGGGATTACCGCAGCCCCCGGCTGGGGCTGTGGCACAGCCAGATGCCAGCTCCGGGGCCAAACACCTCCTGCATGAAACCAGTAAATGAGGCGTGGACCAGACTGCGGGTCCGGCTGGGCTAGATGCAGCCGATGCGTCACTGCAGCGAGGACCCACGGCAAAACGGGCTGATCCCCCGGCACCGGCAGTGGTCACGCATGCATGGGCCGCACCAGAATCCACAGGACCGCAGGGCTGTGCTGCCGGGGCCTGGCTGAGCAGCTCCGGAGGCACAGCGGGACTGAGACCCGGCGTGTTCAGTGCACCCCACCACTGAGCCTAGCACCCAGCGTTTGGGAGGCATTCGGGAGGCAGGGTGCTCCTGGCGCACCTTCCCCTGGGCTCAAACGCCATTTGCATACATCTTAATTTGATTTTAAGCAGCTAAGGCTCATCTTGCTTTGAAGCGCACGAGCCATCTGTTCTGCATTAAGGGGTGAAAAACGGCACAGAGGAGGAGAGGTGGCTCCTAATTCCACTATTGATCGTCCGATCATTATCCGCCCGTGAAGGTCACGGCAGCCACCTCGGACCGAGCGGCTCCCCTGTCCCCCCCGCCGCCTCCTCTGCTCCCTTGGGAAAGCTGAAACCACCCCAGCCATGGGGAGGGGACAGCGGGGCTGGGGGTCCCGGGTGCATCGGGCATCCCTTGTGGGGGGCAAAGGCAGCACCAAGCTCTGGCCACACTCCCCCGGGGCGGCTGCATGTGAAATCCTCGTCATCCTCCCAGCTGGCCGGTGCCTGGGCAGGGTGGCTGCCCGGGAGCCCCGTGCCCCACCGGGGCCAGCCCAGCAGCGAGGCTGGGGCTGGCAGGAGGAGCAGAGGAACCCGGGGGAGAGGAACACGGCTAGTTTAGTGCTGATGTCTCTGGAGAGGCCTCGAGGAACGAGACAGGCTGTTCCCGGTGTTGACCTGCCCACCAGTTCCCCAGTGGCCGCCCGTGCCAGCTCCTACCACCGGCTCGACGTGCTGCAGCTCGGAGGGGGGAAGGGTGGGGGGGCCCTGATGCTGAGCAGCGCTGCGCCCCCTCGCACCCCAGCCCCTCTGGCAGCCCTCCCTGCCTCGGTTTCCCTCCGATCCCCGGTGCGCCGGCAGCATGCAGCATCTCAACTCTGCTCCCAGCAGGCTGGGGGGAGCTCCTCTCTCCCGCCATCCCGGCAGCATGACAGGCCATGGCACCACCAAATTTGGGGTGCACGGGGGTGCCCACCATCTCACCACCCCACCGCAGAGCCGGCATGGATGAGGGCTGCGATTCCCCCGGTCCTGGACCCAGCGGGAGGTTTCCCGGTGCGTGACAGCCACGTGCCCCCCAAACGAAGGGTCATTACTGCTAATTCCACCTCTCCCCCATCTGTTGTGACTGTTTACACTTCACTTGCTAATTAGAAACTAATTATTTGGTGCAGAAATTCATCACTTTCCAAACACAGGCAGCAGCGAGCAGCGTCCCTGGGAACATCTGCACATCTGCTGGCGGCACGGGCCCGTGCTGAGCTCCCCGGGGCCGCCGGCCAGGTGCCGTGCCATGCCATGCTGTGCCAGCTATGCCAGCCCAGCACGGTCCCCTCCACGCAGAAAGGTGCCACCGAATTGTGCTGTCCCCATCCTGCCCACACCGGCCCCCGCAGCACCGGTGACCCCAGGGCTGAGCCCCGCCGGGGAGCGGTGCAGGGGGTGCTGCCTCCAGGCTGAGCCGCTCCAGCCGAGCTGCCGGCGGTGATAGATGGGATAAACCGGATGCCAAACGCTGGCAACAGAGAAGGGGGACAGGAGCGGGGACAACCCTGGCTCCCTCCCTCCACCGCCGATGAAATTTTAATGCCAGGGCCTTGCAAGGCGTTAATCCTGCCTAATGGGATCAAAATCTTTGCCCCTGCACTTTATTTACATAAGGGCTGCCGGGAGCTGGGTCTGAGCCCAGTGCATTAGTGCCGGGGAGGGGGTGCGGATGTAGGGCAGGGGGCCCCAGTCTCGCCGAAAGAGCAGTAATGGATCCTAATTCCCGGACGTAATGGGCAAGCTGGGAACTAAGCCCCCCTCTCCCCGGCTTCAAATCCCTCTTGATGGGAAGGGACGGGGAGTTTTAAGCCCGGAGGAATCCCGGAATGCCTGCCAAGGGCAGGGCTCTGCCGGGCAGCTGCTGGTGGTGGGGAGGAGGGTGCGGCCCCCCCCCCCCAGCGCTCAGCAAACCCCGGCAAGCAGAGATGAGATGGGAATAGGGGCACGGGGTCCCCATGGCTCTGCCCCACTGTTGCCTGCCCCCAGCCACCCGCAAAGGATCAGCAGCTTGTGGGACACCCAGGTCCTTCTCCCATCTTTGCTGTGGATGCCTCGCACAAGCACCGGCACAGTGACAGCTGCGGGGGGACCATGGCCCCCCGCCACGCCTGGGTTCAGCCCTCGTTCAGCACAGGGTCACTACCCCGCTGCCCCTCGGGGACAGGGGGTGACACCCAGCCTCTCCCCTCCCCAGCTCGCTAATCGGAAGCTGATCAGCCCAGCACCCGTTCCTGCTAATTGACATGAATCAGGGTGAGAAACAGCGGGATGCGCCGGGCAGCCTCAACCGAGCCGGTGCCCGCCAGCGCCGGTGGGATGCCCTGAATCCGGCCCGCCTGCCCCTGCGGGCTCCAAGCACCCAATGGAGCCCAACCAACACCGGGTACCAGTACCCAGCGCTGTGCCTGCCGTCTCGGCCACCCTGCACCAACACCCGACTCGGAGGAAATAACACGATCGCCTCCCTCCCTTCCCACCGGCCCCTCTTTGGTCTGGTCAGGATGGGGCCGGTGCAAAGGGGCAGCCCTGGGAAGGGACTGCGCTGCTGCCTGCACCCCACCTCGACCATGGGAGGGGGGACAGAGCTGTCCCCCCAGTCCCCCAGGCTTTACGGGGCTCCCCCGTCCCTCCCAGGACATCACTGCCCAGAAAGCAGGATGGCAGCCCGCTGGGAGCGCTGGCACAGCCGCCTGGCACTGCCACCGAGCAGCCCCATGCTCCCGCTCCGGCCCCCAGTGCCCCCCCCAGCACGGGGAGATGGAGCTAAATCTCTTCTGCATCAGACTATTGCCGGTGCTCCGCAGCACGAAGAGATTAAAAAACAATAAAGAGAAAGCGAAACCCTCCACTATAATTACCAGCCTTTAGCCGCCAGCGGAGGCAGGGAGGGAGGGAGGGAAGGAAAAAGGGGGAAAAAGAAACAGAGAAGAAGAAATCCACTAAAATTTTAATAGGAACCACTGCATTTAATTTAACGACACATTTTTTCAATTACCAGAATAATTGTTTTATTCATAAAACGAGTTTCAATAAAGAGGGTAATTTTCCTTTGTTTTTATTATTCATTTGTGTAACATATTCGCGGCGCAGTTCCCCAGCACCGCAGCAGCCACTCTGCATCTGGGGGCTGGGGGGAGGCAGGGACGCCTGCGCCAGCATGGCAGAGAAGGGGTTAACATCGCCGGGGCACCCCATGGCCCCCAGACACAGCACCCATG